CTTCGCAACTGTCGTGAATGCTGGCTCTTGTCCCTGTTGAGAACACACTGGGCGTCGTATCTTCTGCAAACGGCTGGCTCAAGGCGCCCAAAAGCATCTTTGATCTCAGCCCAGGCTTCACGTGACATCCAATTTGATCTGGATGCCTTATGCTGCATCATGTAGTCTTTGCGGAACAAATGCAAAGGCGTTAGCTTGCCATGGTCCGGTAGCTTCTTGGCGTCCTCACACACACCAGATGCCTTAGATGAAGGCGCCTGGTCCTAATCACAGTCCTCAGTACAGCATACTATTTTGTATAGTATGTTTGTTATATAGATATTAGTAATATATGATATAATATAATATCACTATCAGTTGTTTGGATTATCGTATCCAGTACGGAATAGTAGGTATGGCTATTGGCCATGACTATGACGCTCGCCCTATGGGCTAATGGCCTACGCCTATGCCTATTTCCTATGGCTGGTGGGCTATGAGTCATGAGTCTATGGTCTATGGGCTAGGCTATGGCTCCTTGGCTATAGGCTATGCCTATGCCGCCTCATTTAACTCACAGCCCATGGCCTCATTGATTCATTGGCTCATAGCCCGTAGCCATAGGCAAGAGTCAATGGCAATAGAGGCTATCGGGACTTTCTTCAGTCTTAGTGAAGAGCACCCACAAGCAACTTGTACTGACATCTAAGATTGAAAATTGTGGACCTCTGTCACAAAATATATGGTCCATGGTCCATCGCAATGAACACAATTATAATTCCACCAAATGATGTTTTCAAGTCACACATCTTGCTCGTCCACGTGCCCCAGTAAGCGCCTGCTTTTGGAAAAGCTGAGACTCGTCCAGAATTGAGCCGATACAGAACACTGGGTATGAAGTTCTTCCATTGGAGCCAACTTGTTGACGATTTCGGGCATGGCGGAGCTCGCAATCAGCCACTGTCATGTGGGCAGAAGTAGCCAGTCCCTCAAAGACGGGTCTCCAATCGGCAGATTGCAGGGCGGTACTGTCAACAGAAGTTTGACGTAGATGCCTTGCCATTCCAGGACGAGCGCAACATGGATTGAGACTGTCCCATTGGTCGCATGCTCTTTTCTTCATATACGCCGGTGCTCGTGAATCCAACATCACCTAAAGCTGGCGCTAACTCGTGTATAATTATTGCTTTTGCACATAACGTAACTGCTTTGTTGAAGCCTGTTGTCGCACAACACCCTATTCTTACTCAAGGAATTGACATCTGAATTGATAGAAATGTGGTGTGTTTGAAGAACAGCAACAATATTTACATGCAGTTGAAATATCCAAGCCTACCAAACAACAAGGTCAAAACTTACTGGCATTTTGAGTTTGTTTATCGAGTCACACATGTGGAGAAAGGTGGCTCCCTTGCGAACAAGATATGTCTCCTGTAGATCCAAGCCGAACATAACATTATCATACGGCGAAATACTCGTACTTCTTCCAGTCTGTGGCTTTCCCAATTGCAAACGCGTTTGAATCCAGGACATACAAGCAGAACTCTGCCAGAGAGGTTGATGAGCAACGAACTCAAGAACTGAAGCAGCATGATGTATGGACTGAACTCATCATTGACAACATCTAGCAGAGGTGGTGCCTGAGTAGAACCCCGGCTTTGCCGGCCATGCGCGTTCAGGTGAAAGTTGGTCAGAAACCGAGTAACTTCTTGCAGCACTGCTAACACCAAAACCCGGAATCTGACTTCTGGTAGTCCTGTTAATGCCAGGCCGTTGCGGGCCCTTTTGCCATGCACAGCAGACCAGTGAAGAGAAGAGTTCAAAGCCGGGTCTATATCTTGTTCTTGATCATCAGATTTGTCCACGGCAGTCTGAATGGGCATGCTCTCCATCGATGCTTTGTAGGCTTTCTCCAAAAGCCCACCACAATGAGCACCCATCAATAAGAAGGTCAGGACGGATCCCAGTTTTGTCCACTTTCCTGGAGCTGGCACTTCAGGTTGAGTTGCCAGCATGACTTTCTCCAATGTGGTGCCTGAAGCATCAGCAATGACAAATGAATGACTCAATTCAATTGCTTCAAATATAAACGACTCAACTGACTAACAATGAGAGAGCCTCAGAAGAGATGATGAAAAAACAAAGAAACACTATTTACAATGAGAGTAGATAGCCAAAGGCTCCAGTTTACACTCCCAAGTGTACAAACGGTAGGTGGATGATTTGATTCTGGGACAATTGCCACTTTTCTGTATCCAACCCGCCTAGTTTGGAAACAGACTCGTCGCGGCTTGAGCAACACCAGTGACCAGAGTGAAGGCTACAGTTATGAACAGGCTTCTCTGCACGCAGGTCCCCATTCCACACAGCCTTGCGAATGTTCGATTCGGCTGAACAATAGCGCGATGTAATGGTGCTTCTTTGGAACTGACGTTCAGAAAACAAAAACTAACAGCATACCAAAAGAATCAAAGCTGAAATTTAACATGTCACGTAGCAAAGAAATTGTCCAATCTGCGCTTCAGCTCCCCTCGTTTTGGGTTCGACTGCTCACTCGGAGAGTCTAGGTCACCCTTCCTGCTAATGCTCTTGAGTACTCGATCTGATGATTCCAAAAAGTCCCGCAACTCATTTGCATGCTCTGCAGAATAGGCCTCTTGCTCATCTCGGCATGCATTGTGCCCAACCACAGCTGAATCAAAAATCAAGCGTGCGTAAGCTTGCTTCAGGCGCAACCATTGTCCACTGTTGCGAAGGAAGTGCGTCAAGGAATAAAACATGGACAGCAGATTTCGCGATGGCAGGCTCGATGCTACGACGAGGCTGCCCTCGATCAAGTTCGATTGGTGGTTGCGGCACTTGATCATATCAATCAACTCCCCTGGCACATGCGACGACAAAAAGTAGTTGAACAAGCGCTCATTCCCCGTAGCTCCGTCAAGCTCGAAGAGAGTCATGTGCTTCGCTGCTGTTTCACGGATGGCTTGAAGTATTCTCTGAGTTCCAGCAAAAAAGGGATGGTTGAACATACCATAGTACAGGTTGCTGGCTGAATCTGAGATCAGAAGAACGGGAGGCATGACCTAAATCAAACACTTGTGAACTGAACACCATTCGAATCTTCTGGGCTTAATGAGTTTAATGTGTGTCCTTTGATGTCCTTGTTTGCACTTCTCTCACCAAGTCTGCAAATAAAATGGACAGAAAACAGTTGTAACAACTTGTAAGAATGCAGGGCATTGTTTTTATCTATATATGCATACTGCATACTACATCTGAATATGTCATATATATATATATCAATCATTATATATCAAATATTAAATATCATATCACATCTAAGTTCCCTACCAAATTCAAAACCATAGAGCGTTCCCGCCACTGGAGCTTGACTTTGAGCTTCTGAACCATAACCTTCCAAGCACTCCTGGAAGAAGCATCGTTGCCCTCCAACTGGACTTGAATGTCTTGAGCAGTCTCATCCCATGCGTACCGCGTAGACACAACAACAGGAGAGCTCCGTCTGCAAAGGGCTAGTAGACGAGATAGCAAGTGCATTTGCTTAGTCATCACTGATGCCGCCACAGTTGTTCTCATCAAACGTACAGTGGGGGGACTGACATGAAAGTGTTTGGCTATGTCACCAATCAAGTGAAAGCGATCTCTGGCTTTCCCACTTTTCTCGCCAAAAGCTACTTCCAAAAAATCGGTCATCCCAAATCGTCGTGCATACCGGTTGCCCGCTCCACACTTCATCTTGGCTTGCAAGACCAAACTATGCTTGGCCTTGAGATCCTTTCTCTTTTTCAATCTCTTCAGGGTAAAAAAGGTGGCTGCATTTCCAGTTCGAACCTTTTGCTGCAATTGGACCAGAGCATCTAGGATGGAGGCCTCTGTTGTTCGTACCTTTTTGTGCACTTTGCAAAAATGCCGGTACCAAGACATTGCTTTTCCAGCCATGCCACCTTCCTTACCTGAAAATCCCAGTTTCTTTCTTTTCTGATATGAACCAACCGTGCACGCAAGCTCCAACCTGCTTTTGCTGTCGACCCTCACCAACGCTGAATTCACCCTCTTCAGCGAAGAAGCAACTTGGGAGTCTTGTGGACATTCTTGTTCAGCTACATGTTGATCCACATCGTCAAACATCTCGAGAAAGTCCATGGCTACGACTGAACCATATAAGACAAAAGGTAAGGTTGTCAGAGGTAAACAAATGTCAGCATGCACCATCAGTGTGCTTCATCCTCGAATATTTGAGAACTTGTGGTTGTCTAGTAATTTGTGTTGTTTCCTAATTCTCGTTATTCGGCGTTCCCAAATACATATATGTTTACTGCTCTTGGTGCTTTCTAACATTTTCTAACATACATCATGCACTTCAAGAAACAGCAGCAGCACCGTCTCAAAATGTCACAATGTGCTTTGAACACACTATTATTCTCAACGATTCCTCAACGATTCTCCAACGATAGCTTCAACGGTCTAAAATTGTGGCAAAAGGTGTGGCAAAGCCGTTTTGCCACACCTGTTGCCACACGTTTCCCAACGATAGTCCCAACGATTGCTCAACGATTCTTCATCGATGTTGCAACGAAGGCTTTTTTAGGAATACCAATTTTTATGCGATCATACGTTTTTCATGGTAGAGCTTCATCCTAATATATATCTGTCTCAAATAGCCCGCCAACCGGACTCCAACCACCGATTTGTGGTCAGTCTGCTTTACTATTGCTTTATCCGTTTTCCAAGTCTGGGAGGTGAGCGAAACAGGAATGGTGTGTTTTTTGTGACAGGGGGCCCGGTGAGTGCTGGGCGATGTGGGTCTGCCGTCGGGTCCGGATTCATCATTGCTCTTGCGGATGTTAACCTGTGGTGCTTCCACGGCCCAAAATGGCGACGCCTCCTAAGCAACCAGAAACATACATCCCCGAATTCACATTCCAAAACCAAACCCCCAACCCACATTGCACCACAAACCCCCAGCGATCCCACGGCATGACCATCCCTCGCCCAGCGGCAAAGTCTTGGATGGCCGGCTCCTCTAAGAGCCAAGCGAACTTGAATCTGCGAAGCGGCGAAGCGGTCGGGTCGGTCGTTCCAAGCGTCGTGGGAGCCCTCAGAGGTCCAGGCCACAGAATTGGATCATTCACGATGACCCCCAAAGAAAGCCACGAGATCATTCAGTGGAACAAACATGCACAAGCACTACGATAGTAAACGATATTGATATCATTAGGTGACAAAAAAAACATTGCGTCGCCATGCGTCGCCTGCATGCCAGGGCCTCCTCCCTGATCTCTTGGGCATGGAACTGTCGCGGCTTTGACATCAAAGGCCCCAGGTGGGCGAACCACACCTTGGGAAGTCGTTCGACCTCCTGTGACTGCGGCGCAGCACGCATGCTGCGCCGGGTCCGGTGTTGGGGTGGACATGTGGGAGCCAGGTCAAGGTAGGTGATTAGCAGCTGTGCTTGAAGGACTCGATCCACATGATCCACGACAGGCCGTCTTGGTCGTGAACTATTACAGATCAAGGCAACATTGTAAAGTCTAACAAACCACACCGACATGAAACAAGTGTTTTCTGCCAATTATGTCTTCACGTTCAAGACCCAATCACCATTGACTCGAGACATCTCGAAACCTTCAACAGACTTGATCAGTCATGATCGTCTTTCAACTGCTCAACTTGGGATCTCAAACGTGTTGACTCCTGTGGCGTTCAGGGTCTCAGAACCGACTGACGCTGTGGCTTGAGGACATGACTGACGGTGTGGCAAGCACATGGAGGGCCCTACTGTCCACTGACTGGAATGGTTACCCCCCAAAAAAAGAGCTTGTAACCTCTGAACCTCTGGTTCCGTAGATCCTGAATCTCAGATCCCAAAGAAACATCCCCTGCAGCCCCAGCCCGCGTCCGTACTTGCACTGCTTCGAGTCTGGAGCATCTGTGCAGGAGAAACCCTTTCAAGGTGTGATCTCTCGGTCCAGTTTCTGGAGCTATCAGTATATGTACTCTAACCCCAAAACCGCTGCTGATGTAGAGGGAAAATCCACTTCCAGGGGTCATTTCCAGATTTGATGTTCTTCTCTCGTTTCCATTTTTACCTCAAGTCTCCCCACTCTCAACAAATTGACCCTCTTCAACTTCAGTATCCACCAACCATCGCATGTCCTGCCAAGGTTTTGACTAAGTGACTAAGTGGCAACCGCTGATTCCACTGATTACCCAGCAAAACATCTGAAATCGTGAAATATATTGAAATATAGTATCCGCAACAGGCGTTGGTCAATGAAACAACAGGCGTTGGTCAATGAAAAATAATGAACACTAAAGATTGACTTACTGTATATAAGTTGTCTCAACGATTCTCAAAGTCTTCTGGCTCACAGTCTAATTAATCGATTCAAAAGATCAAACGTTGCACGCGGAAATCCCTCGGCCAAAGTCTACCTCTTGAGAGGGATTCCAGAAATGCCGCTGTTCGACGCATGGAACTGATGCGAAAACGAGGTGATCAGATCCATGCGTCGAACGAAACAAGCCATCCACCCTTCTGGCCCGAGCGGCGCGTGAGGGGGAGGCCTCCTTAATGCGCAAGGCATCCTCTGGGCTGAGACCTTCGTGAAAGACAAGGATGGGGTGATCCAGCTGATTGTTGAAGCTCTCCTCAGGCGATCTTGATCGAACGCAAGCAGGACCAAAGGTCTGGCAGTCCATGTATCTTTTAATTTTTGGGATAATGTCGGATATGCTTGGATCATCTTGGATCGTGGTCTCGAGGGAATCTTTGAGGTGACGTTTGAAGCACTTCATATGTTCACTGTGTTGGGGTCTCGGCTCTCGGCGCAGCAAAACCGATACGTATGTTTCTGTGGGATGACCGTCCTGAAGCTATTTGGCTTTCTTGACCCATGCATGTATCGAAGCTTCCAGACCTCCATGACAGATGAAACCTGTGCAAGTTAGTCTTGGCAGCATCTTCCCCAGTACTCATCAGGGATCCAAGGGTGACGAGCAGCCAACGCTGCAGCTTGTGGCCGATACTGGGGACCCGTCTCAAGCTCAACTCATCTACTGCATGGGACTCATGTGCACTGTGCACGGAACGGATCAAGATAGACCTTCCAAATGCACTCCCCCGGAAGGCTAGGTGTATGTTAGGTTCCTTTGATTTCCGTTGTTCCAGTGGTGGCCGGAAATCCAGTTCATGTTGGAGGGGGCCGGGGTGTTTGCTGCTTTTCTGCAAGGCCCGCCAGTTTGATCTTGAGACAACCCCCAAGCGCGGACTCCTTAATTCAATATTGATATTACATTGTTGATACCCAATTAACAATAATAATGTGCGAAGGAGTTCTTGTTCAATAAACATATTTAAAACATAAACATAGTCTAATGGACCTTCAATTTCATTAAATCCACCTATAATTCTTTACATGAACTACCACAATATTGTTGTGTTGTGTCATTTCCTCCGACAGGGACCGAACCAGGATATGAGCAGACATCCATACACTTCAATGTATGATAAAAGAAAAATATGTTTTACCAATTAAACATTCCACAATTGTTACCATTGATGCATATTCATTATTTAAATATATATATATAATGATAATGTTAATAATATACGAATAGATTAAAGAAACAACACAAAATAGTCATAAAAATAAAAATACAAACACAAACACAAAAAATATAAACAATCATCATCAAACACAAACACAATGGTAAAATGATGAATGAGAACGTTGCATTCAATTAGTCTTTTTAGTAAATATGGTTCATGTTTAAACCTTCTTGGTTAATGTCCGTTGTTTCTTGGTTTATTGTTATTGTTGGTAGAATAAATAATGGTATATCACCATTAATATCAATATAATTTGGTGAAAATAACAAAGGTAATACACCCTCAACAACAAACTTATTTGGTGGTTATGATATTGTATATATACGATAAATAAATGCGCATAAAATCATAAAATGTAAATTGTAAAAAAAAAAAAAAAAAACTATATACATAAAAGATAATATGGTGGATTAGAAACAATCTAATAATATAATGGAATATATAACTTGTTACTTTTGTTTTAAGAAGAGAGTAAAACAAACAAACGAGTATATAAATTGCATAAACAAAAATTAGCAAAGGATATCAAAGGATAATAAACCGGAGTATGAACAGGATATGATTGATATATATATACATATAAACGAAGGAGACGTAACATAAATAATTATGATTTTATGGAAGGCGATCAGGTTATGATTAGTAATGTCAATCCCATCAAGCCCTGACCTATCCCTGGCACTTGTACAGTAATCGTCTTGCCCCGAGAAGAAGGACAAACCGACCAACCAAGAGATCCAAGGACCCGATCTCTTGCCCCTTAGGACTCGATCCATCGGGTTGAACGAATCCAAGGAACCCACCAGTTCCAAAGGCTTCCAACCAAGTCCTCCTCTTCACCAGGTCGAACGCGTGTCGCGATGATGGCGCCACCTGAGACGCGGAAGCGTCCATGCGGAATTCGTTCCAACTCACATTGAAACGGCCGTTGAGACGCACGGGAGGTTGTGCAAGGAATGAGGGCCACAGATTGACTATGTGGGGATGACAAAAACAGAGGTCGCATCATCTGCACAATTTGGAAAGGCCTTTCATAAACTATCTGCATGGCCATGGTTGCCCCTCAAAGCCCTTCAGCTTCAGGGATCAAAAGCCAGGGGCATGAGCTCCTTATGAAAACAATTCAAAGGGGCCCCTGGTTAGAAAGCACCTTTCCTGCTGCGGTGCTTCACACGGTTTTTGCGGTGCTTCGCCGGCCTTGTCCAGAATCACCCATCTCTTGCCGATCGCACAAGGCATCCCGCCACGGTGGGAAGCATTCGCAGAAGCCCGCCTGGTCGTCGTCCGAGCTCGGCACGCAGATCCGAGAAAACTCGGGTCACGGGAGATCACTCGAGATCACTGGTCTAAGGTGACGAGTTCTGTCATCAAAGATGTGAGGTAACCAATGATGGATGGCTTTTTTGGGGGGGGAGAGAGGGTCGGCCCTTTTGCTTGCAAAGAGACCTGGTCACCCCATCCCCGAAAGCGTGCGATTCGTCGTGGTGAAAGAGGCGAACCGACCCTCCGGGGGTTGGTGAGAAAAGCTCAAGCCCCCACATCTCATCCTTCACCTGAAGCAGTGTCCATGAGCTTGTCATGGGGCTTAGGTCTGCAAGGAGCTTGCATGTGGAGTGCTGTTCTTTTTGTCTGCAAGGAAGGGCAAAAGTAGAAAGCCTGCGATCATGGTGAGGTTTCGCCATAACACAATTTGAAGAAAAGCCGTCTGAAAGTACTTTCTGCAAATGATCCGCATAATATTGAACTGTGAATTTAGTAATTGATTTCTCGGGACAAACTGACAAACCAAGCTTTCTCCCATCAAGTGGACAGGACATTCCGCCTTCCCCTCTCCGCCTCTCCCGCCCGCGCCCGGCCTCTAGAAAGCACCGCCCGCGCCCGTTGATCAGCTGCCCCCGGCCGGGCGTCATGGGCGACACCGCTCCGGCGAACAGCTTGCCGCGCTTGGGATGTCCCGCTTTCAGGCAGCGCGCCTGGAGGGTCGTGGTCCTTGCGGCCCTGGTCGTGGCCCTGGTCGTGCCCTGGTGGGTAGGTTTGGTTTACCGAACCAGAACCCGTTTGGCCCATTGTGTTCATATTGCGTTCTCTTTGGAGTCTGACACAAATAGAAATCCACATGATTGCACCTGTCTGACACATCGATTCTTGACTGGATCTTCGTTGAGATCGATGAAGGCGATTCTTCTACACTTGAATCCTGAATAGGGGTGGGTGGTACAATCCAACAAGGGGCAACACAAAAGAATTGCCTCTGCAAACGTGAAGCCTCTCCAAAACCTGCGCAGGATTCGCTTGATCCCATCTCACACCCCACCTCGGTCTCTGGGTACAGCTCCTTCTGCGCACATCGCCGGGGCCTCGGACACCGTGGGGAAGACACCATGGGATCATTGTGAATTGTGATCATCTTTGGTTTGGGGTTCCCGTGTCACGTCCATCTGTTTTGGGGGTCGGGTAGTTTGCAACCGTGTGGGAAAACAAGTCCAAAAATCAACAACATTCGAAAACAACCAACCCAGTACCTGCTTAAACAACAGTCATACACAAATGAGAGAATCTCAAACCCCAAAACTGGTGGTATTGGACTCGTTCATCCTGCAAGGCCAAAGTCCGCAATGAAAATACATCCTCATGGTCGTCCCACAAACCACTGAAGTCTGCGTCACTGACAAACGGCCAAACTCTCATGAAAAACTCATGGCTCATCTGGTCCAAGAACACTCTGTCGATCTCTGTGGCACATCGCACCAACGCCCACATCATGCGCCGCGCTTCCCACACTTCGTCCCGCCCAGTGGCTGTTTCCGTGGCGGTCTACCGGGTGCCCGGACAGCGCTGAGCGGGAAAGCTGGGGGACCTTCATCGCGCGCTCACAGGGCCAAGCAGCGCTCCCTGGCAGATGGGAGTTTGACACGAAACGAAAGCAAAAAGACTGCTGGGAAGTTCGGCACAGGAAAAAAGGCAACGACAACGACCACTACCACCTACTACCACTACCACTACCATGCTACTACTACGACTACGACGACTACTACTACTACGACGACGACGACTACTACTACTACGACGACTACCACTACCACCGCCACCACCACCACGACGACTACTATCTATCTATCTATCTATCTATCTATCTGTCTGTCTGTCTGTCTATCTATCTATCTATCTATCTATCTATCTATCTATCTATCTATCT